AAGCAAACTGTTGAATCAAATCACATCCACCGCATGAAAATATGCGCAGGTCTATATTCTGTTATTTGCCAAGAATAAAATGCAGCAGCCTTCAAATAAAAAGCTAATAATAGTTTAAAATGTGGCTCCTTGACACAAAATATCAGTGATCGATATATCCGTAAGACACACTTTTTGAATATTAAAAAAGAGCAAAGATACAATAAAACGTGTGAAAACAATCATTTTTTCCGGGTGCTTAAAAATATGGCACAGCTTCATAAATACTCGCTGGGAATTAGTACGTAGCGTCAATTTTGGCTCTAATCTGTTTAACAGTCACACATTCAGTTACGCTGATATAAAACAACAACTACGCAGTTCAGTGAGATAACAGCTCGCAGGCCTGTAGGCAAAGTAAAAACCAACTTACTGCAACAGCTCTCAGTCCTCCGCACCACTCGACTACACAGTCCAAAGAAAGGTACTGCATCCTCACTGCCACAAAGCCCTTTCTTCCTCCGATAAGGGGAAGCAGGCAGCTGCGATTCCGGACAGTTAAGATTATATATGATGTGTATATATCGAAGGTTTGTCAGCTCTTCCAGGCCATAAAACCCACTTAAATGACACCACGTGCTTCCTATGCACCATTCACAGGCCCTGCTTGAGGCAATTGGCATATGTAACCTTGTAAACTTTAAAATACCCTAAAAGAAAGACATACAAAAAGGGATTGAATGCGTTGTCCATGTATAGGTTAGGCCCAACAGAGCGCAGAGAAAGTGGACGCTGCGCTGACCGGTTCTCATAACCGTCAAGGAAGTCAATAGGAAGCTATTAGTTTAAGAGGTGAGTTGATTTTTATTTTCTTTAAGTAGTGCTAGACAGAATTACCTCATAACCTTGGGCTATTCTGCGTCATGCCACTTCTTCTACTAAAACTGCCGATACATTCAACAATGGCGTGATTTTATGTCCGCTATGCTAGCACATAGCGATGTTTTAACAGCAGTGTAATGATAGCACGATTAAAGAGCAAGGCGACATGACAAAAGTAGCCATATGGCCTCAGCGGTGATGACGCGCCAGTGTGCGGTCACAGGAAACCAAAGTTTTGCATCCACGTTGTGTCGTGGGTGAGTGTTATCACAGGCAAGTGCGTCCCTTCCTTCCCTGACAAAACAGGAAACTGAGTGCGTGTGGTGGAGTGCTGGAGAAAGGGGGCAATAAAGTTTTATGGGGGCCTTAGACTTCCGAGCGCGTTTGTGAGTCAATGAAAATCTGTTGATTTCGTGGCTCAAATGGGACAACGCATTTATAAATGGCTTTGATAGTGAACTGGATTCCGCCAGCCAACCCTCGAAATGTGTTTCTAATGATAATAATGATAATAATAATAATAATGATAATAATAATAAATAATAATAATAAACGTGCATGCTGACAGCAGGGAATTCCTTTACTTTTAATGAGTCTTTATTGGTTACAATCAACGAACAGGCCATCTATCAGTTATTGTAGGCCCAGTGTTAATCAGGCACCTTAAGTTTACAAAGGAGGGAAGAGAAATTGTTCCATTGCACATTACAACATTATCACAAACAGCCACTGAATTGTACATAATGATTCAAGAGTCACAAGAATATGACAGACAACAGGGATGGTGTCTTCACACGAAATCCACTCACGACGACATTGCTTATTGAGCACACATTCAACAGCATCCTAAATGCAACATGTCACAGAGTCAATTTCAAAGAAAAAGAAAAAAATGGAGAGAAGTAGTATTTGTAAGACAACTTAACTGTTGCTAAGGATTTTCCGATAAGTCAGAATTAGTATTTATTTTGACTTTATTTGATTCACTGACCCCTTTGATGCATGGTGATATAAAGTTGGGAGCTATTCAGGTTATCTCTCGCTTACATAATTTAAAAACATTTTATTTTTTTCTTCTTTTAGTGTTTGTGTGCACCTTTTCAGTGTACTGCAGACCAAAGCTTTGCAGCGGGACGGTTCCAGCTCACCCTCGACCCCCTGTTCCTCTCGTGCAGTAAAGTGAGGCTATCATCGCATGGGCAGCAAATTAATTTAGAAATGTAAACCGATTGATCAAAGTGAGCGATATTCAATACATTAGGTCCCAAACTGCAGCAAGTGACACATAATTGGTGATGAAGCACACAGAGCGGTGTCATGATGTCATTGCTCCTAGCAGTTCATCCGAAGGTCAGGCGGCACTCCAGCATTGTGCAGTGAGGGCTGAAAACGTGCTGCATGCACCGCGTTCGCTGATGCCATTTTTTACTCCTTCACTTTGATTTTTGAGTCCTTCTTCCACTTCATTCGTCTGTTCTGGAACCAGATTTTGATCTGCCTCTCGTTTAGACACAGAGTGTGGGCGATCTCTATGCGCCTGCGGCGGCTCAGGTACCGGTTGAAGTGAAACTCTTTCTCCAGCTCCAGAGTCTGATAGCGGGTGTAACTGGTCCTGGACCGCTTACCCTCCGATTCTGAAGTGGTATTAAAATAAGTTAGCTTTCAGCAGCATTAGAGTGGAAAAAAATAAGTGGAATATAAATAATAGGCTAATAATATCATTACATTCATTACTATTACATGTTATTACAAAGCCTGGATACCCATAAGCACTACAAGCAAGGATCCATTAATTTAAATCCCCTTCAACCCCCATTTAAAAGATCAAAAATCTTTATATAACCTAATTTTAACCTGATATTACTTACTGTGGACTTGTGCAATAAAAATTTATGTTCATGCAGATAAGGATGGTTAACTAGACCCTTAATATAAATATACTCAGTGCAAGGGAAGAGGGCCCACTTAATCCTTTCACAGCAAAACATAAAAAATACAAAATATTACTTAATGCATCTTATCATGATTTAATGCTTAGAAGTTGATAACTAAAAATATGTGGGCCTCTCGGTAAAACCCTGGCCTCGGTTTAATAACGATGCACTGGAGTAGGATGTTGTGGGGGAGAAGCAGATATGTAAACTATAAAAAAAAAAAAGGGGGGGGGAGTGGGTTGAAGAAAGTGATGTTTTCCAGATACTTTTTTCAGATTTCCGTGGGTACATGCGTGCAAAGCAACAGAGTTGTGCTTTTGGAAAAAATAAGATAATTTCAACAACCCCGCAGTGTGTTTCTAGATATTTGCATATGGAGGCTCATAATAAAAACAGCATCTTTTGCAGCAAATGTGCTCCTTGTACGTCTCGCTGCCTCAACAGTACGCCAGGGGTTTGAAGGCATAGAGAAGAAGCATGCCTATTCAGATCTTTTAGAGGTGAAAAGTTCACGATTGGGTCAGGGCATTGGTGTTTGACAGAGTTCAATTTAAGGCTAAAGCTTCTCTCTCGCAGTGTGTGTGCTGATGCAAAACACACAGCTAGACCAAGTCTATAAACGAAGCATGGCAAAAACTAATACTTAATGCTGCATTTGTAATATTATTCCATAGTTTTATCGCATTTTTGTTCTCTTATCCAATTATGCCACCATAAATCACAGCGCAGATCACATCTTCACCGTAACAGAGCAGGTTTACGAGCAATGGATGCCTTTGTCATAAAATTTATGACCGCGAGTTTTTATTATTTCCTGCGTTTGGCCTATAAAACTCAAGAGGGACACTGGAACGGGCAAAAAGAAGTGTTGTAGCGTTAAGAGTGAATAAGGGAAAGCATCTTAGCTGCACTTTAGAAAATATGCAAACTTTACCGTGGCTCATGTGCAGTTTTGTCATCCATGGATAAATCTGTGGTCGCTGCTCACTATCCTCAGGCTGGTTCACGTTTGTGTTTCGTTTCACGGACTGCGTGTTATCCGCGTTTCTGTCGCTCTCCTGGCTCATGTTGCCGCCGGATTTTGCGCTTCTCTCCGGGTCTCTGCCAGCCCCACGTCCGAGCAGCTTACTGCTGCCGTAGCTGAGCCCGCTGGCGTCCACAGACGAGCTACTGGAGACCATGGTTATTTGTGGTCCTGACGGGAGTGGAATATCCGTATTGCCACGCAGGCTAGTTTTCATCTCCTCCCGTTGAACAGAGGTCGTGGGGACGGGACAAGAGAATATCCCGTTCACATTAACACCCTCATAATGGCTGGACACGCGCCCAGATAGATCGAAACTAAACATAGTGTTAGGAGAACTTGTCTCGCTTGTTTGCCTGAGACTGGAGCTGTCAACAGAGCTCATTTCAAACTACCACCGACACTTTCTTTTTAAACTAGACAGGGCTGCGGGCTACACGTTGCGGGTATTTCCTTGTTTTTGTTGGTCATTGCTTTTCTTTGTTGCCGCTTTTGGAAAATTCACAGCTGTCTGCCCTAAAAAATAATCCAGGATTTATAGGTGGAGTAGGCTTTGGTATCTTTTTTTAATTCTTGATCCGACGTGGGCTGCCCAAATATGGGGTATTTGTACGGGATCACGTGCGCATGTTGGCCAGTCATAAATTGGCTTTGATACTCAATGGGGATATTGATGAATAGGAGAAACGTGTCCGGTAAACTTTGAGCTGTTGGTTGTTGAGGACCAGGCAGGGATCTTTAGCGCAAAAAGGGCAGGACAGTAAGACAAGAGCGTCATCTGGTGTCTGGTATGGGGCAAGACGGTCAAGACCGGTCAGCTCTGTGCCCTGGACCCGCCGCCAGTCCACCATCACCAATAATAATAATAATAATAATAATAATAATAATAATAATAATAATAATAATAATAATAATAATAATAATAATGCTAGGTTAAAATATATCTACGCGGATGGACTTGAACGTTGTTGGGAGTTTATATTACGACAGCTACGGGGATGTTATCGTGTTTAACAGTAGCTTAACAGTAGCTAGCTCCAGTGCCATACCAATATCGGCGTCGAACAAACAGGTCTCATGTTTTGGAGAAATAAAAATTGCTTAAAAATATATGTTTAACGTCAAATTCTCCCTTTCTTGCCTATACAGCCTCCTGACCAAACAGGCCACGACAAAAATAAAAAAATTAAAAAAAAATCTTTAAAATTTAAAGAAAAGCAAAAGAAGAAAGAAATAGCAAACTTTCACAGTCCAGGTTTAGTGCGTATTTAGGAAATCTCTTCGTATTTTTATTACGTATTTAAGGGACCTGTCTTTATCTGACTCATGAAACAGACAAGACGAAGGTGAAAGTTTTACAAACATTTTATTCCGTGATACACAGTTATGACAAAACATTAATGTTTGACTCTCAAACAAAGGTGAAGAATTACTAGTGTACAAATCTATCTCACGAGGAAGCATGTCGTGTCAAATGGTCAATGATCTCATGTTATGCAGCGTCTACCAAAGCGGCTAAATGCACATTACGTTTCCACGGGATTTACGTTATATACCGTTACTTTTATCATGTACAGACATTATGAGTTTTGTTTGTTTGTGTGTGTTCGCGCGCGTGTGTGTGTGTCTGTGTGTGTCTGTGTGTGCATGTGTGTGTTCGGACTGGAGACTACTACTTTTAGTTTGATGCAGGGCCCATTTTCCTGCGGACGATTCAAGTAATAGATTACATTGTGATCAAGTGTCCGCCCGCTCTTTCGCCTCCATGGAATGCGCATGTACAGTAATGAGTTTAGTCAGATCAACACTGAATTATAGTGAGGTGATCAAAGAGATTCACAGTGATGGATGGGGTGTGTGAGAGGGGGGAAGGTAAATATACAGATTTCCTGGCATAGGAAGATATGTAGAAATTAATACTTCTTTTTATTTCCACAATACAAGTGTGATATTTGCAATAAAAAACAAAACAAAAACAAAAAACCCTCAGTTCTCCACACAACACAGCGGCCAAACTGTGGCTGAAATCATTTTGGATTTCTAAGGATCAACCCTCCTGTGGTCCAACACGAAATAAAATTGGTGAGAGCTGCGTGGTAGCAATCATGCGGTGAAGTCGCTCTCGAGTCCATGTAGATTTTTAGGTAGTTATGTTGGTTTGTAATGGTCATCGTGTGGTTTTTATAATTTTTTATTATTATTATTATTTTAGCTATTCTTTCTTCTTGTCTTCATCCTTCCCTTCTTCCATTGCGCCATTGCGTTCCTGCTCTTGAGACGCTCCTGTCTGTTCAGTTCCTGTCACCGTGGAGGTCAGGTTGCTCTCTTTCTTCCATTTCATGCGTCGGTTCTGAAACCAGATTTTGATCTGCCGCTCTGTTAAACAAAGCGCATTCGCGATCTCGATGCGTCTGCGCCTGGTCAGGTAGCGATTGAAATGAAATTCCTTCTCCAGCTCAAGCGTTTGGTAACGAGAGTATATTTGTCGTCCTCTGCGTCTGTCTGTCCCGTAGCCGACTCCTGCTGGGAGACAAAGTAAAGTCACTCATTTAAGCGTTAACAGCGCGAAGTCACGTTTGGATTTCAAATAAAACGTGCCTCTGCCTGGAGTCTGTTCATACTTGGAGGCAACTGAGCATAAGTTGTTTTGTTTTTTTTTGCCTCGTTGTTAGATTCATAATTGCAATCTAAATCCACAGAGAAAAATAAACGCATTTTAACTGGAAGGGAAAAATATATCTCAAAGGATATCTTTGCTGTATTATCTAAAATTATTAAAGCTTCTTAAGTAGTCTCTCTATCTCACTCTACTGATTATGGCTACTATATCATTCTTAAAATGAAAGCTGTTTGTTTGCACATGTTAAGGCCCATCTACAAGTCGAGGGGATACAGTAATGTTTTATGGGGCCATAAAAAGTAACTTGCTCTCTTGGTAAGACATATCGTAAAACTGGCCCATTTCCTTAATTTATTTGTCGTAGTAAAACTCACCGCCGTGTGAGTTCATTCGCTGCATCCACGGGTAGATCGGGATGTTACTTTTCTGCTCCTGAGCTGCTGCTCTTCCTTGATCCAGACTGTACTCTTGAGCAATGTGGCTTTGTGTATTGAGTCCCATATTTGTTTGTCTGCAGCTGGGAAGCACGTCCTTGTCTTGAAGAAACACGTTTGATCCATACTCATACTGTGCCCTGCCAGACCCAAACACCACATTATCTTGAGGAGAGTAGAAAGGTGCATATATCCGATTCTGGGTCACAGCGGCACCGTACGACGAAAAATGTCTAACTGTGTCATAGGTGGTGGAGTTTAGGGGTACGTTAGGCAAAACATCTTGACCACCGGATAAATGGCAGGAGAGCGACGGGTTCGCGAAATAAGAATTCATACCTTGCTTGTAACCCTCTCTCCAACTCTCCCCACTTCTTTATCGGTCTCTTTTCAATCTCCTTCTCAGTAAATCTCCTTCCCCTCTGTGTCAACCAACCACACCTTTCTCCAAGGTCTTCTTTTTTCCTCGACTTTTTGCCTCTGTAACTGGACGTGAGCTACTTTGAGGATTCAATATTATTAATTTCCAATCTCCGGTTAAGACGCACAAACCCGAGTGTTATAGCCGAGGCTTGGCTCGGTGAGAGACAATATGACAATGTCAGCTGACCATTCTCAACCAATTGAGAGGCAGGAGTTGAGGAGAAACTGTAGCTTTTAGCTCAGAGCTTGAACATTACTGCTAAATGTCGATAAACACAACGTAGACTTGGAGTGGCACACTATACAGCTTGGCTGAGTGAGAAGTTTTTGGCTTGAAGTTTATGAGCATGTGGCGTTTAAGCAGAAAGCAAGATGGAAAGCGTGGCCAATGTCATTCAGGACAGAGACTACATTCAGAGGAAGGAAGGAGATGGAGAATTCTGATTAAAAACACGTGAAATATTATACAAAATGCCCATTCACTAGTGACCAATAGAAAAAATAAGACGGATATTAAAGCTGTTTACTAATGCAAAGCCATGAACTGTCATACTAAGTTCTCGTGTGAGTGATCGTGTGTGCGCATGTGTGTGTCCTATACCCAGTTTTATTCCATAATACAACATACACTGCTGTTTATCTCAGCCATATCAACGACTTTCCAATTTCCATGCTTTTGCAGTGAACTGGGGGAGGGTGTCGGTGGTAAGAATGCGTTTATGGTCTCTCTTCTGTGAGGGCAATAAAACAAGTGACGTTCCCCAGCTCACCAACAACTATCTCTGCAGCAAAGCTTCGAAACACAGGCAGCAACCTCTCCCGCTAAGAATCAAAAAAGCACCGCACAGCATGTGGAGGCAAAGCAAAGACAAAATCGCGTGCAGGACAGGTATGGCACAGAAAGGGGAAAAAAAGAATGAAAAAATGCTCCTGTGAAGATGACTTCTGCCACCATCTTGAAAAAAGAATCCAATCAGTTGTGCGATCGTGCAAAGCTGCTCATCAATGCTCACTGCTATTTCTCAGGTATAGTCTGTTCAAACTCACAACAAAGAACACTTTACTTCAAATTAATTAAGCAAAAAAATTGAATAGGCAGCATGTTAAAATGCTTATGCAGATGTTCCAGTCTCTTTTTTCCTCTCTCTTTGTGATCGTACTTTGACATTCCTGTGACACACACAGAGAGGAAACGGGAACCGATTATTATCTCAGCACCAAATGATGGGTTTGGAAATTACTTTAGAGGCGTTTTGCAGAATTCTAGAAAAACTTGATCACGTGTTTTGACCTAAACGAGCTGCCTCCAAAATCTGCATTAGACGAGATCGCAGTGCGCTAATTTTCATTTTATAAAAACTTTTCAGATGAATTAAAACTAAAACGCCACACGTGCTTTCGAAGTAGTTTTCCAAATTAATGTGGCCGGTTTTTGTTTTGTGTTTTAATTTAATTTAATTTTTTTTTAAAAAAATTTAAACAAGCCGCATCAGATAGCAATATTATAATAATAACAACAACAATCAATAACGCTATTGAAAATGTGTGTTAAACGCAGCCCCACTGGCTGCAACAGCCTATTGGTTCACCTCATTGATTTCTTCAATGGAGTGAATTCGTGCAGCCTAAACGTGCAACACTGTTTGTTCTGTTGTTTGGGATCCTGAATAGCCCATAAAAGAGACAAGAACAAAGAGAAGGAAGTAGCCGGTGCAGTAAAAGTTTCCCTTCAACTATTTGTGACCATATGTGACATCCGCGTCGCACAGATTTGAGGCAAATAAAGCGCAAAAGTTGGAGCCTGCAGTTTTCCTAAATTTCCGTCCTGGGACTGTTCTTTTCCCCCTCTTCTTTTTGATATCAAGAAACGAAATCACTTGATGACGGAGGTTAAACCAACACTTATAGCAGGAGTAAACTACTCGGGGTCCCAGTTTGTTTAGTGAACTTCTACCCTTCAGTGTGGTGTAATTTCAAAGGAGACCAAATTGTTGCAAACATTTAAAAAAAGTCAGTTCCCCCACTTTGACTGGAACTTGAATTCCACCAACGTAAATATGAACAAAAACGGAAATAAAATTGAAGTTTGTGATATCATATTTTTAGTCAATCCACCCTCATGGTGGCAGAAACGGAATGTGCAATAGATTTGTGAAAGCTTTCCTTTGTTTAACCATTTCTGCTGTCGTCACCAAGTAGTCGGCATAATTTATTCCGCACTGCAAAGCGTTTCAGATTAACACAATTTTCAACAATCTCTATTCCATCAAAATCCACTCGAATTATTTGAGTTCCCAACCACAGATTTTCCTTATTGTTATTTACAGAGACACACACACACACACACACACACACACACACACACACACACACACACACACACACACACACACACACGAAGAACAGAGCGGTCTGTAAACTTTGGGTTGTAAATAAAAGCTGAACAGTAAAGCCAATGTGTGGACTGGTGAGACTGGAATGCAGCAGAGCTTGTGTCAGTGTGCAGAATTAGAAAGGTCATTCTTTCCCTTGTGTTTTAGTGTTTTATTGCGGCCCGCGAGGCAAATTACGCGCACGGCATTTGATGCAGGGAGGAGAGGAACCGTTTGGTGCACGTTTCCACAATTTTTAAAAGAACATTATGTCCAGCGACGAATGCGTGAACCAGGAAAAGTAAAAATATAAATTACTATCAATACCCTAACATCCTGTTTCTAACCATGGGAATTAATAAAGATCATTCATAATTAATTCCTCAGTGTTATATGCCCTGAATTTGTAGTTTTATATGGTGATGCGCAACGAAGGCATAAACTAAGTTGTTGTTATTATTATTATTATTATTATTATTATTATTATTATTATTATTATTATTATTATTATTATTACACTAGTTTAATTCTTACGCTTTGATGTGTTCTTGTGCTGAAGGCCTAACTTTGATAGCCCGCGCTCTGCAGCACAACATGGCCCATCAACATCTACGGTTGCTTCTATTTTTTTCTTAAACACAGCTTTCAATATCCAACATCACAACATCACTCAGCATTAGTTATACGGGACCCTTAAAATTTCTACATTATCGGCCATGATTAAAAACGCAGCAAGAGGGGCAAAGTCTGGTCATCCTCTGATGCTTTTTCCTCTCCCCCGCTTCTAACCTTACTAATAAGGAGTAATTCTCATACTAACAATGTAAAGCCCTCTATAAGCACTTTACCATCGCTGGCTAGCCCAATTAATGTCCGGAAGTGTTCGACTTTATGCTCGTTAAGCACTCAGGAAGCTGTTGCCCAATGAGCGCATGTTGATCCACACATCATAAATTATGGCCATTAGTAGGCAAAATTTTGGTCCTGTCGGGATTTGTAAGTGAGGTTCTAAATGTGGTGATGCGGACAGATTCATGACTTCATGGAGTTTAATGCGAGCCTATCTCTGGGTTTAAAAAACACTGCAGGGCAAAACAATGGGCTGTGGTTTTCCCTTATTATTTCAACCAAGATTTACCTAACAACTCAAATGGCATCTATTAAATGGGCCCTCTTCCGCTCTCTCCCTCTCTCTTTCTCTCTCTCTTCTGCAGGCATAGTGCTGGGCAGCAGCGGACACGATCCATTGCAACAGCAATGTTTCATAAGGGAAAAGCAAACAACGTGTTTAACAGTAGGTTATAAGAATTTAAAGGCTTTCACAACGAGGCTTTGCCAATAATTGTATTTTACAAGATTGAAACGCTGGACTGCTGAGACAGAAACAGATCACGTCGCTTTATTACATAAAACAATATTTAGTCTCCACACAGAGAAGAGAGGACAATTCCTCAAGCTAAGCTTTGATGAAACAACATCGCCAAACTTCAAATGCACAGCCTGCAGTCTCCCACACACACACACACACACACACACACACACACACACACACACACACACACACACACCGTGTTATTTAAGATGTCTTTGGATACACTTTGTATATATTTTGTCTTACACTGATACTCCAATTCATTATCCTTCTGTTTTTTTTTACTGAGGCTTTCGTGGTTTCTGTCACTCCCACACAAACACACACATGCACACACTTGACGAGTTTTAACCTCATTCTGTGTTTTTTTTTCATATGAAGTCCAGAATAACGTAAAATAATTTATCTGGATTTATTTTCATTAATACATTTATTTAATTGTTTTAGTATTTTTAGACGTGTTTGAAAGAAATTTAGGGAAGTGAAATGTATATGATGCAATGTCCCACCATTCATGCGCAATATGCTATAAACAATGCACTGTATACACTCATTCTGTCTCACTTATGACGCCACATTTGATACTGTTAAATGTCCACTGCTGTTGCTCTTGGTGTTGTTGATATTGTGAATATTTGATACAATTTTGAACGTATTACTTACTCGTCTTATTTTATTTTTTTGCCGGTGGTGTAAATAAAATGAAATGTTAACTCTCACGAATGTCGTGGCGTGCTTATGTGACAAAGCAATATCTTCTACAAATCACTTCATCTCATCAGGCTAAAACGAAAACAATAAAACAGACGAATCTCATTCTCCAAAGTGACAACAACAAATCAGAAACACTCCTCGGTGTCAGGTCGAGCAGTTACTCGCTGGCAGCAGCGTATCAGCTGACATCCGCAGTGAACCGCCGCCGAAAACCAGCAGCCATAAACATCAAGACTCAACACCCGCCCACTTCCACATATAACGCCTCTTGTCGCTAGGGGGCACTGCCGGGAGACACCAGTGTGTCACTGTGTACATACTGTGAGCCTATGTGTTTCTCGTGTGTGCGTGTGACATAGGGGTGTGTGAAATTGCTTATAGATGTTATGCAGGCTTCTGGTAGAAACTGGGTTAAACGTGTGGCAGCAGATATGAAAACAAACCATAATTAGAGAACATCAGCCAGAAATTAATATCATTCGTCACTGCCTGGTGAGAAGGGCCTGTGTGAGTGATGAGAAAGTTTACTATCACAAGGCAATCAATTACATCGGGTTGGCACAGCGCCTTTAAAAATACACACTGGGTGTAGGCTGAAGCAGCCACTACCCACACAGGTGCTGCCACATCAGCCAGAAAGCAATAATGACAACCGCCCCGGGCTTCAGCACCCTCCCAGGCTACAGGTCAGGTCACAACTACACTGAATAGACACCTTCAGTTCTCATGATCTCACACGCTCATAATTTTCACAATCATTTCGACGCCACGAGGACGAGCCGATTGAGAAACAGATCATTAAACAGTAAAGAAAAGCAGCTAGTAAAGTGCATAATCTTACCCCCAGCAGGCTCTCCACAATTTCGAGCGTCACTGTGGTCCAACAAAGCAGCTGAAGGGTCACGATGGCGAGTGGGATATATCAACACAACGCACATCTCCTCTGTGCTGCTGGCTGTGTTCACATTCCGGCGATAAGCAGCTTATGGAGACAGGGTGTCTGCCGGGAAAAGTCTTTTCTAGCAGGCTTTCTTCTTCCATTTGCTGTCCCAGTGGTTTTATTGCCTCCGGTGGGGGAATAAACGCAGGCAGCGGCTGTAGAGGCGGCGACTGTCCCGAAGATCTCTCTGTCAGGAAGTCGGGGATCGAGTGAATAACACGCGCGGCAGTGCCAAGATGACTGTGCAGCATTTTTTTTCTTTAAATATTACAATAAAGGGAAATAATATGTTTCTACGCCCCAGCTTAGTCTGCTGCTGATACAGGGGAAGGACCAGAGAATAGACAACAGCATAAAGTTCATGTTCATAGCGCCTGTGCCACGTGGCTCGCTTCAGCCAATGGCAGAAAGGATTCAGTCGTAAACTTTTATTACTCAGCTGTAAATTTCTCCTTTTAACAACCAGGAATGTTTGCACCCATCTTGTCTTTCCTCTCTTTTTTTCTTCTTCTTTTTTTCGATTGAACAAAACTAAACCACCAATAATATAATACATGGCAGCGAAATTCCCCATATGTCACATATCAGACATGTGTCAAAATATGACAGTTCCCCTGGTGGGTGAGCTGTATGCCAAGATGTCCCCCAGACAAGTTGGAACGAGGAAATAAAAGTGTGTGAGTGCGAAGGCGAGGTAGGGGAGAAAGCGACGGAGACGCAACTAATTAAACTTCAATTAGGCTAAACTCTACCTCCATATAAGGGCCTGTGCTTCTCATATGGAAGCAAACAGATGTCAGGATAATCTGCACCTTACATCCAATATCAAATACGCAGACACACCAGGTGCAAGCATAATATCAAAAATTATGCCTGCTGCAAGTCATTTGTAACAAAATATACATTTTAAAAAAGCAGTTGAGATTTGAGCTTGAAAAGAGAACACTGTCTTATGAAAAGAAATATACATGCACTGCAAATGTTGTGCAAACTTTTAATGAAAGCTAACATCAGCACACGCAGAAAGAAAACAAAATATCTAATCGTTGCGCGTAAAATTCCTCATGCATAAAAAGTTCGGTTGGGTGTTTTTTTTCTTGACCTTCAGCAAATATGCTGTATCCTAATACTTGCGTAATAACAGAGAGACACGGATCAAGATGAAGAGAACAACAGCAGACGTATTATTTAATTTAACACTAACACGCAGCTTTGTATCTCGTAAATCCTTTTACAGGAAGTCCTCTGGCTTCGCCTTGAAATAATCACCTGATATGTCGTTTGATGACGAGTAAAGCGCATTTTCTACAAGCTAAATAACCAACAAAATTTCCCTCACTTACTAGTTTGAGTGGTGCATCTTGTCCTTGCAGGCCGTCATCGCCACACGGAGCTGAGGCACACAAAAGATGCAGGCCGAGCCGCGTCTTTACCACCGCCAATAAAGTTTACAGCAGGTACACTTAACTTTATTGGTAATGTCAACCCTCTGTTAAAACTACACACACACACACACACACACACACACACACACACACACACACACACACACACACACACACA